ATTGGCACTGATTTTTATGTCATTTTTGATGTTTTTAATTTTTTACACGTCAGTGATGTCTTAATCCTTCCAATGTTTCACGGCGCCAAATACTGCTTTTTTTATGGAATAGGATGACAAACGAGCACACAGTCCACCTGATGGTAAGTGGTTACTGTGGCCCGTAGATATCTACATCTGTCCTCGATTACAAATCAAAATGCAGATGCGTTGTCACCCGTGAGGACTAAGATGGAATGCCTCATTTCCAGTAAGAAGGGTCTCCGGTTCTCGACACTCACCATGCGAAACACAGAGCTACTATTTCACACTGGTATTCTGTGAGAGCGTGGTCCTTCCCCGGCCGAGTCGACCCATTCATGCTACAACTATACTACTAATATAACTGCAGCATGGCTCTACCACGTAAAAGCGACGCAAAACATTGCTCACAACTCTTTTTCTTGTAGTTACCGGTCTCAGACGAAATAAAAACTTTCGTCTGAGGTACCGGTAAGTAATCTTATTGGTTATTAGTTTTCTTCCCCAACTGCTTAAATTTGGAACAAAAATTTCTGAAAAGGTGATTTTTGCATTTTAGACTAGTTAGACTTCTAATATTCATTTGACGAATATTAGGAGTACATCGTCCCTGCATATTACTGTCCGGTAATTTCTTGTCAAGCTAAGAGGCACTGAAAAATAAATAGAATAATAGTTACAAATATATTTTACGGCTAACTAACACGAGCAAAAGTCGCGGGCAAAAGCTAGCTTATCTTTAATTTGGTTCATTGTTAAAATTTAGATTAGTAATTAGAATTGGTAATACGAACAACATTTTCTAACGGACATTATTACTAGACAAATGGTAAAATTGAAAATTTTGTACAACCGACTTCAATAAAACTCAATTACAACATATGTCATGGTTGAAATGATTTCTATGATATTTATATGGGGCCAAATGTGAGACATACATTATCAAAAAAAAAAATGAATAGGTATTCAAAATCGGTCCACAATTGATGGAGAAATCAGTGAACATACATAAAAAATAAAATAAAAGAAAAAGCATACAGCCGAACATAGAACCTCGTTTTTTTATGAAGTCTTAAAATAAACATCAACTATTTCATAATTTTATATTTTGGCGAAATAAATTTCGGTCTATCACCTACCAAGCAAAGTATGACCACAGAATAAATAATATTACGTATGACACCTATGTGCAATACCTGTTGATTTTTGAAGTTGGCGTTACCCATCCTTTCGATTTACGAAGAAAATTTAATTTTTTTTTCGTTTTGTTGATAAACACTGTCGACTTTTTTTCCTGGTCTATAATCTTTATCTTCCATTCTAAAAGGTATAAATTAATTTTATTTGAATGAATAAAATACTCATCGTAAAGCTGGCATTTGCCTTTGGCAGATATAGATAGGTAGATATTTACATATAAAAATAACAGCTCACTTCTTTAGGGTATATGTAGTTAGTACCTACTAAATGTCTACACACACTATGCAATAAGTATAATAAAATTGCAAAGAAACACAAACAAAATGAATAATTATGTCACTTGTCGTCAAAAACATTTAAGTATGTAGTATCTGGATGCCCGAGCTTTGCTCGGTATTTTTTTTTTGGGAAATCTTGTTTTTTTGGAAATTATATTTAGATACAAATTACATACTGATGTAATATGAATAATATTTTTCGATCGAAATAACCAGTTCAGTTTTTTTTTATTATGTTGGTAATAATAAAAAAAAACTGAACTGGTTATTTAAATAAAAATCATGAGTTCAATTAGTTCTAATTTAATTTTTCGTGTTTTTAAAAAAATACTAAAAAAGGGCTCGAAATAAAAGATTTACTCACAAAAGAAGGAAAGTTAAAAAAAAGACGGGCCGAAGTCATTCAGATTCGAAACACGGATTCGAAACCGCCGATTTCTCATTTGAGCTGTAGTAATCTTTGGAACACTAGCAAAATTTACCTTCATATTCTAATATATATACAATATGTAACGTAATTAACGCACACCCTCAGACACCCCAATTAGTATATTATGTTATAATCATAATACATACACTGAATTTTTAGTTAAACATTTTTATACATTGATTATTTATCAAATTAGTTATACTGATTCCGGAAGAATGTTGTGGTCACAGTACAAATCCACGAACGTAAAGACTTTATCGTGCTTGAAATAAAGTTAATTTTTCTTTATTTTTATTGAATGACAGAATTAGTAATAATACAAATAAAACTGCACTCTTAAAAGTCTTATTGCCTTAAGTTACGGTCCATTTCAGTTTGTTTTGACTGTACAGATTTAGTGTGACTGTAATTTACGTAGTTTTAATTATTTTTGGGATAAAAAATTACCTGTATTAAAAATGATAGGAATCGATTCAGTAAACGATTCTGAACAAACTACTTTACTAACTACTTACTGCTGCTATTGTAGTGTGCGTGAGAATTTGTTTATAATATGTTATATTTGTGTTTGTCACGCCCGGAGGGAGGCAAAGCGAGCGAAATGAAACAGATAGCATTTTTGAAAATACCATCTCGCATCGCGTATCGGCATTTCACAATCCTCTTAATCGTCCCGTAAACTTCCACTGCTGCATGGAAGGATATCTCCCGATGTAGGGAGGATTTGCCTCAGTCGTCACGCTCAGCATAGGATTGACGATCGTAGAACCAGACGTGAGCACCTCTGGCAATGTTGCCTGTCGCCGGTCTGGATATTTTACATCTGAAGTGAACAAGGTGGTTCTACCGCCATCTATCGGAAAACCAAACCCGAAGTCGCCTCTTACGAAACCCACGGGATAAAATCTGATGATGAATTCTCTTATGCCGCACTTACACGCCAACTTCGACTGTACTGTGTGTGTACACACTAGTAACACTAGTTCTGTGTGGAATTCGAAACAGCTATTATTTAGAATAGATTATTTTAATACTACTACCTAGACTATATTCTTAATATCTACAAAAAATCCTGGTCAAATTGTATGTATGAATAACACTCTTTCTGTGTGGGATTCGAACCAGCAATTATTAGATTAATGTAATTATAACACGGTCGGAAGAACGTCATCATTATTATTCGAATTTAGATTCTTTACCATTCTTTCCCTCCAAAATGAATATGCGAGACATTATCCAGAGTAATTGGCTAAAATACTTTATATCTTGCAACGTTAAATGAGTGTAATTATGTAAAATATTATAATTTCTCTATATCAGGGAGGCGAGGATAAGGCGTAAATTCTGCCCTTTTTAAACCGTCTAAGGTATCTTAAAATAAAGATACAATGTCTTACAATAAATAAAATGTTTGATTCATTTCTATTTCAGAACAACAACAACAGTGTGAGAAAAAGATTAAATCAAATTCTACTGATTGTAACATAAATGATTTTCGTAAAGGAAACCTTGATTTAGAAAGCCCTGTTATTAAATTAAAGCCTAAACTGAAAAGAGACACTCGACCAGTTATTAAAAAAGGGAAGCATCCTGCAAAAATTATGAACAAGAAAATTTTGAAACGAAGTGTAAATAAACTTACGAAAAACACATCTGAGGCATCAACAAAATACATTTTTGAATGTGATGATTGTAGAAAAAAGTTTTGTACAGAAGATATTCTCGCAGACCACATATCATTCAGTCATAAGACGCAAAAGAACTCAGATGCAGTTCAGACACAAGTTGAACAAACTCCAGTACCACAACTAATGGATATATATAACTGTGATATTTGCGAATTTAAAACATCTCAAAAACGTTGCATTTTAGCTCATATTAAAGCGCACTTCGCTAAGCAAGTGTACTATTGTAATAATTGTGATTACAAATGCATTACTAAGAGTAATTTGCAAACACATATGAAAATACACACCGGTGAAAAACCTTTTTCGTGTAATATCTGTGAATATAAATCTATTACTAAAAGTGATTTGCAAAAACATATAAAAATACACACTGCCGAAAAACCCTTTTCGTGTAATATCTGTGAATATAAATCTAATAAAAAAAGTAATTTGCGAAAACATATAAAAATACACACCGCTGAAAAACCCTTTTCGTGTAATATCTGTGAATATAAATCTAATAGAAAAAGTAATTTGCAATTACATATAAAAATACACACCGGTGAAAAGCCTTTTTCGTGTAATATCTGTGAATTTAGATGCATTGCTAAGAGTAATTTGCAAACACATATGAAAATACACACCCGTGAAAAACCTTTTTCATGTAATATCTGTGAATATATATCTATTACTAAAAGTGATTTGCAAGAACATATAAAAATACACACTGCCGAAAAACCCTTTTCGTGTAATATCTGTGAAAATAAATTTAATAGAAAAAGTTATTTGCGAAAACATATAAAAATACACACCGCTGAAAAACCCTTTTCGTGTAATATCTGTGAATATAAATCTATTAGAAAATGTAGTTTGAAAAGACATATGAAAATACACACCGGTGAAAAGCCTTTTTCGTGTAATATCTGTGAATATAAATCTATTACAAAAAATGATTTGCAAAGGCATTTGAATATACACACTGGAGCAAAATCTTCGTGAGGTATCTGGTAAAATATGTACAATAGCTGTGAAAACCTGTGTTAGTTTTTGTCGAATATTTATTCATGTGTGTATATTTTATTAAATTAGTAATTTTTTTTAAATTAAGAACACGTGACTTATGACATTTTTAAGTTTTTTTCTTACTTACATATTTTTTCATTCATTATACAAAAATACTTTACAGGTAGTCATGTACTGAATACCTATATTACAATACATTCTTATGCACCACATTTACTGTTTTATGTTCTGGTGCATCTAGTAAAATAAAAAAAGCAGGAATTAAATCACGAAACATCTTTATTTTGATAACTAGAAAATCCGACTACTTAAATCTTAAAACTAAAATAATACTGAAATAACCATAGGATAATTTTTTCTTGTTAATTTTCAGTGAAATTATTACTCATTGTCAGATAAACCAGACTCTTCAGAAATTGCTGCTTCAGGTAAACAGTCAACAGTTCTGTTATCTGTAGCCAAAGACTGAAACCAGCCATGGTACTCTTCAGGTATAACACTCTTTTCGCATAGATTTAATAAATCTTTCTTTTTGGCTACAGTTATGGGCAATGGTTTGTTGTACAGCTGTTGCAAATAAGGAAATATGTACTCACAGCTAGTCGAAGAGGTCGCATGTTCACAGGCGTCTGGTTGTTTCGATTTAAGCCTTGTCGCATAGCCGTGACTTTCCGATACAGTAGTTGCAGATGCATTTAGTTGTGTTCCTGAGCAAGTGACGTCCATTGTCATGAAATTGATTGACATATCATAGTTATAGTATATGTTTCGATCACCTTTTATGTATTTCATCCTTTTTATGAATGAATGAATGAATATACTTTATTGCACACCACAAACAAATTTACAAATAACATAACAGAGAGCAGATTACATGTACAATTTGGCGGCCTTATCGCTACATAGCGATCTCTTCCAGGCAACCAAAGGTGTAAAGGAATAAAACAGTGAGTACTAGGTAGGTGGTGCAATATAAATATACCTAATATAATATCAATACATGCAATAAAATAACATATAAGTAAATAACTAATACATTAAAAAAATATGATACACATATACATAGGTATATACATAAACATACACACACATATATACATATATATATACATATACATACATATAGATACATACATATACACACATACACATATATACATACATATATCCTCAAATATATACCACTAACAATAACATAAACAAATAAATACAAAACTATATAATCACATAATTTATCCTAATGATTTTCGAACGATTGAGACAAGTAATGCTCTTTAAGAAGTCGCTTAAAGACTACAATAGTCTGAGCTTCGCGTAAATACAAAGGTAGGGCATTCCAGAGCTTAATAGACTGTACAGTAAAAGATTTATTAAAGAAAGATGTATTGTGAGTTGGTACCCTTAAAATGAGTTTTCTTGAAGAGCGTAAAGGTTCCCCTGGAAGCCCAACAAAACTAAATTTCTCCTTAAGATGAGGAGTAGAAGGGTGAAATAAGGAATAAATATTTTTATCTTAAGCCATTAAATTCTCTGACACCCGTGTTTGTTGTCTTGTTCAAAATTATAGTGCTCGCTAATTGTTTCAGATGTTTGAATTCAGAATACGTGAACTGTTTTACGTTGTATTTGTTTTTCATCACTTTCTTGGTGCCCTTTTTATACGTGTCTTGATCGGGCATCTTTGTATATATTGATCCAGTCCGATAAACAATACACGTCACGATGTTTTTTCGCAGATTCAATTGAGCTATGCATTGAGTCGGCCTCCATGTATGAATGGCCAGACTCCAAAAACTTGTGCTCAATAATCTGTAATTGTTTGCTCTGATTGATAACCCGCAAGAGTAAAGCGGCTATAAACTGATTTCTGAAGTTATAAACAGTCAATTTTCTGGTATAATAAAGAAGGCCAACCTCAGTACTAGGAATTTGTAAAATAGCTTGAAGATCAAATGTTGCTGATAAAAAGTTTAGTTTTTTTTTCTGCTCTCTCCTTATCCTTGGCCTTTTCAGCATTGCATGCTCGTTTCCTTTCTATGTGATCTTCATAGTTTTGTACTAAATTTGCTTTTTCATCTGCGTTTGCATGATTGTATTTAGGACAGACATGACATTGGTCTTTCTTGGGAACGAAAAAGCTCAAGTTAAACTCCTTAGAAAAAATTCTTCTATAAGTTATTTCTGACACTGTTTTTGTATTACGTTCTTCGCATTGATTAATATACAAAGAATACATCTTAGCTAAGGAAAGCCCAGCACTTAGTATTTGCGTTTAGATTGCTTCCTAGTGTAGTGACTTTCCATTGTTGGGAAAGAAGCTATATGGCTTTTGATTTCTTCTATTTTTTCAGGTGGGGTTTTATTTGGGTTTTACGTCCACAAGGATTTTTATCTTCTAAATAACAGCCAAATTGATCTGTTCGCTTTATAGCATTATTCACACTAAAAGGCGAAATACTCAAAGTACTGCAAAAAAATCTTCAGCAGAAAAGCTTTTCGTCCTACGAAATCAAGACTCCAGTATAGTCTGCATAAAGTTTGTCTTACACTTTCAGTAAAATTATTAGAGCATTGGTATTTACATTTAGAACAGTCAACGGTTGTAGGTACTTTCGGGTTTCTGATCTTTTTCCCAGTAACATATAACACATATTGTTACGAGCTTGAGGTTCGTGACAATAAAAATTGCCGATAGAATTACCTAAATTAACACTTTAATTTTCTTTACACAAATTAAAACTTAAAACCATTCCATCAGATTGCGGGTGATAAGAAGTCGTTCTTGTTTTATGAGTACTCATAACTCGGCAAGTTTCCTGGAATATTTGAGACTCAAAATTCCTTGATCGCTGTGAATCTCTAAAGGTACTCCAAAACAACAGAAGACTTCACGAACTAGTTTATCTGCAACTGTTGAAGCTTCTTGATTTGGAATGGCGAAGACTTCTGGCCACTTAGTGAAGTAATCCATCACAACCATGAAATACTTGTTACCGCTTTCACTCTCCGGAAACGGCCCCGCCACGTCAATGGCTATTCTCTCCCATGGTGCACCAACATTGTACAACTTCAATGCACCTCTACTACAAGTCTGAGGTCCTGAGGTCCCTTTACAGCCGCACAACTTGTACATTTGCGACACCAGTCCTCAACATCGTTTCGACAGTGGACCCAGTAAAACCGTTATCGGATCTTCAGTAGAGTTCGTTTAACTCCCAGATGGCCTCCTGAATAATCATTATGGTACAGCTGTAGAACATCCGGTACTTTAGCTTTAGGGACAACCATTTGTAAATGACAGCTGTCTCCCCGAACATTTTCCCATTTACGGCACAGAACTCCATCCTGAAGCAGCAAGCTGTCCCATTGGGCCCAATAGCTTTTAGTGGTCGAACTCATCGCTGAGACGTCGCTCCACTTGGGCTTGGGAGCACTGGCCTTCATCCATTCCAGAATCGGCTTGATGTCCGGATCTTCCTGCTGTGCATGTTGTAAGCTGTCCTTCCACTCGTTGCTGAGGTGGTCTGTCCTGAGCATCCTCACGGATACCACTTCCTTACTCTCCTGCCTAGTATAATGGTTGCAATCTTCAGGATAAGGTCTTCGTGATAATGCATCTGCGTTGCCATGAGATTTCCCGCTGCGATGTTCGATCTCAAAGTTGTATCCCGGCTGCTGCTGGGCGGTGATGTTAGCCGCACTTCCCTTCTGAGATCGTTCACCTTCCCCTTCTAGGGTTCGCTTAGGGCAGCTGGATCGAAGATGACCCCTTTCCCCACAGCCATAGCACCTAGGGCTGTATCCTTTATTGTGGTCGCGAACTGCTGCAACCTCCCCTAGCGTGTGGGGAATGATTTTGCTGCCACCGCCAGGCGGTGCCGTTAGCTGCACTACCCTCTCGAGATCGATCAACTTCCCTTTCTACAGTCCGCTTAGGGCAGCTGGATCGTAGATGGCCCTTTTCCCCACAGCCGTAGCACCTAGGGCTGAATCCTTTGTTGCGGTCGCGAACTGTAGCTGCTGCAACCTCCCTGACGCGATGGGAACGATGATCCTGCCGCACGGCTTCTACCTCCAGTGCATGGGCCAAGGCGTCCTTAAGCGTCTCGTGGTGCACGAGCCTCACAGCAGCTCTGACCTCAAGGTCTCGGATGCCGTCGATGAATGTCTGCACCAGGTTCCCTTCAATGAGCGCAGGTACAGACCGGTATGCTTTTCGCACCAGCTTCTCCATCTCTAGAGCCCACTGCTGCAGGTTTTCGTTGATGCGCTGCACGCGATCTTTAAGCTGCGCACGAAAGACGTGTTCCAGGTGAGCGTCGCCATATCTCGCCTCCAATGCCTCAAGGAGTCGCTCATAAGTCACTTAATAACAACCTCGAACTGGATTTTGTAGGCTGACCAGGAAGAAGTCCCGACGAACGGTGGCACCTTGAACCCACGTAGCGAAGGTGTAGTAGCTACTACGGGAGCTGTAGTTCCATCCCCAAGTTTGAGGTCATCCAGCGTTTTCTTCACGTAAGCCACCACGTTGTCAACCCGATTGTTCACTTGGTCGATTCGGGTTTCATCTTTCGCGATTTGGGTTTCAGCTTCTGACAGGCGGTTGTCATGCTGAGCAACCCTATCCTTCACCTCCTTCATCTCCTTCCCGAGGGTAGCGTGAAGGTCCTTCATGAGGAGCATCTGCTCTTCCAAACGACGGACCTGTTCCTCTTGTCCGCCCCGCAGCTGCTCTTCCAAACAACGGGCCTGTTCCTCCTGTCGGCGAGCCTGTTCCTCCTGTCGGTGAGCCTGCTCCTCCCGCTGCTCTTTCAACAGACGGGCCTGCTCCTCTCGTCCACGCTGCAGCTGCTCCTGTAGCATCGCCATCAGAGCACCTAAGTCGGGTGCTGCAGATGTAGGAGCTACTGACGGGCCTACAGCCGGCGGCTGGCCCTCCGACGTCTGCGGCGTTGCACCACCAAATCTTCTTTGGTCCGTCTCCTGCTGGCGTTGATTTCGGGTACGGACACCCTCCGTTTCCTCCTTAGGTAAAATCGGCATAATTTTATCCCACTTCTGACACCAATTGTTACGAGCTTGAGGTTCGTGACAATAAAAATTGCCGATAAAATTACCTAAATTAACACTTTAATTTACTTTACACAAATTAAAACTTAAAACACTAATAATCAAACACACTAATTCACTTTATTCCGCTCCGAAGCTTCGCTTGTGTCGCCAACTCCAATACTGCCTCGATCGCATCTTGCAGCGCCTATTTATATAAATTAGCAAAGAAATATCCAGAATGTTCAAGTAAACACGCGCAAGGTACCGAGAGTTCGAGTTTTAAACTTCAAGAACTTTAGTTCTTCGGTTCGAGACTAGATGGCGCTAGTGCCGTCGACTTGAGTGCGTAACAGTATAATATAGGATAGGTATCATTGCCAATTTTTAACAGATTTTCAACAAACTCTTATGCTTCCGGAGCTCCAGTAATCTTTGCTCGCATGTTTTCTGTTGATGATAATTTGTCAATACGATCCCAGAAGTTAATCGCTTCAAACTTGCGTTTATTTCATCAGCTGGAGTTGATTTTTGAATAACCGGTAGCGTTTGTCTAAAATCCCCGGATAATAATAGTAAAATTCCTCCCATAAGTTTTTAATTTTTCCGGATATCCTGTAATGTTCTATTCAACGCTTCAAGTGATTTTCTATGATAAAAAATAAAAATATAAA